TGTCAGCGTCGGGCCTTTCCAATACAATTGAGTACCTCTGGCAAATCGTTGGTGCGGCCATGCGACAGGGCTTGCATCCAAAAGAGCCCAAGATGCTTCATGGTAGCCATCATAGCTTCAGCCATCATAGCTTCATTGTTCGTTTAGTCAACAGGGAGGGCGTCTGTACTGCTCTGTGGATCTCGGCCGATTCCTTGCAGTTTGGGAAGGAGCAGTGGACATGGAGGCTTGGGTTTGCCTTACCCCGTCTTGTGCGGGATATTAGGTCAATACCGATGCGAGCGCCAGCGTAAATGTGCAGATGAACATTCAAGGCTAGACGAACATGGCAGCGTCTCCCGGCCCTACTGTAGGTGCCGGGAGGACTAGGTGTAATGTGGCCAAGGCACCGATCCTCTCATGACCTCATGGTCCATTCTCTTCCATGCTTCGAGGCCCAAGTTGCAACCAGACTGGTTCTGTCGGTCGTCACGCGGCCTTTTTGCCTCTACTTTTCGCAGCCGAGCGTTGAAGCGCGGTATTGATGCTGTTTTCGCATCGTCATGGAGTAAGGTTAAAAGTGGCGATCCGCGACATGCAGAGCCGATTTTGTCTTGATCCTGCTTCCTCCCCTCTTCCGTACCTAGGTAGTCATCACCAAGTGTTGATTTGTGAATTCTTCCGCCCCGTGACTCTCGACCGTCGACTTTGGGGCCAACGCCACTGCCACTGCCGCACGCCCCTCCGCATTGTTCTGAACTTCTGCCCCACCGCAAGACCCCTGGATGGATACCCCGCCAGGCACCTCCACCCTTGCATCTGGTGGTCCGTGGTTTTGCACTCCAAGCTTCCTCATCCGTGCACTGTCTCACCCTCTTCTTCTGCTCCTTTGCCCTTCCGCCATCCATCAAGTCCATCTGCATGCTCAGCGTTCCTTGTGTCTTGCTTGCCAGAGTCAGAATACAATCGAGCGAACCGCGACGCGTGCACCAAACTAAGCCTCGATCAGCCAGCCAATTTGCGCCAAAGCCAAACGCCGGCCCCCTTCCATACGAGTACGACTAAGCACCACGAATTTGGCGCCCATTTTGCCGACCGCGACAACGGAGCTTCATCGTGCGCCGCCTGTCTGTCTCTCGTCTTGTCTGCTTTGTTTTCTGAGTTTCTCGGTCGGGTACTAACCCAGTAGAACCGACACAACCTCCAAGCCTCATCCTTCGGACATTTTGTCAAGTTCAACTTGGCTCCCGATTGAGTCATTGGATGTGTTTGCTGTGCGGCCTCGGCCTTGCGTCCATCCTTCGTTGTTCAATTAAGCCTTCCACTTCCCTGAATCCGGTTTCTGCTATCGGTGAGGGTTTGATTCGATTACACTGCATCTCCAACTTCGTGGAACGCGGCCGGCCGCAACCACGCGCATTGCCAGCATTGAATTTTTGATCATACATTCCACATTTTGCACGCACGCGGAAGCGCACACACCTGCACATACGCACCCCCTGCCCTTGTCTGTGACCTGTCTTTCCTGCATACCGTCGTATTTACTCTTTCCCAATTAGAACGTCCCACATGTTTCTGCCTAGTATAAATACCACGGGGGAGGACCTCTACGAGGTTGTGGTTGAGACGCCCTGGTTGTCAACAATCTACTCCCCCGGCCTTCAACAAAGCTTGACGCGGATTCCTAGCGTCATGAAGTTCGTCAAGTTTGCCTCGGCGGCTGTTCTTGCTGTCATTGGTGGACAGGTGGGCGCCGATTCTTCTTTCACTCCAGCTAGGCCTCCAGCTGTTCCTCTGGCTGTCCGTAATCCCTATCTGAATGTCTGGCTTAACGGGCAAGAAAATGGTCCTCACGGAATCCTACCTGGGCAATGGCCCGAATTTTGGGCGTAAGTTCTGCCCCCCAGCCGTGACCTCAAATCACACAAGACTTTGGCACCAAGATCACCGGAGTGCAGTAGCTAATTCTCTAATTCTCTGCCGTGTACAGAACCGGGATCCAAGGATGGCAAGGCTTCGTCAAGGTCGACGATCAAGTATATAACTGGATGGGTGGTGCTCCCGGAGCTCCGAATGTCGACCAGTTGAACTTAGAGTATACGTCAACTCGTAGCATTTTCAACATGTCCGTTGCTGGGAAGGTTGACATGAGAGTGGAATTTCTGTCGCCTGTCTACCCAGACGACCTGAGGCGCCAATCTATCCCCTTTTCATACATCAATGTTGCTGTTAAATCTCGCGACGGCAAGCCGCACAGAGTGCAAGTCTATTCCGACGTGTCGGGAGGTCAGTCGGCGCCCCTTGGCTCTCTTGACACTCGTGGCTGTGATATGTTCTGCTGACGTGTGTCTTCTCAGAATGGGCATCGGGAGACGCTGGAGCAGTGGTTCAGTGGGATACTTCATCCAATTCTGGCGTGCGTAGCCACAGGTTCTGGAAACAGAAACAGACCGTCTTCCAGGAGGATGGAGAAAATGCAGCTTGGGGCACTTGGTACTGGTCCACTGGTGACCAGAGTGGTGTAAGCTACAAGATTGGTGCTGACGTGGATGTACGCGGGCAATTTCTCAACAAGGGATCTCTGGACGACCAGGTTGACAACCAGTTCCGTGCCGTCAATGACAGGTGGTGAGTCAAAACACTGCTGCATGGTGACATTTCTGGGAACATTGCTGACCGAGGATCAAAGGCCTGTCTTTGCGCTTTCACGTGATTTGGGCACTGTCAGGAGCAGATGGGCCGAGACTGTCTTTACCATCGGAGTGGCTCAACAGGAGAGTATTCAGTGGGTTGGTCAGGCCCCAGAGCCCCAGAGCGTACCGTCTCTATGGACTGCATACTTTGACGAGAGAGACCTAGTCACATTTTTCTACCAGGACTACGACAATGCCACGCATGCTGCCAATCGACTGGATCTTCGTATTCAGAGAGACTCTGTTGCTGCTGCTGGCCAGGACTATGCAACAATCACCACCCTGTCTGTTCGACAAGCCTTTGGTGCCCTCGCATACGCAGGCAGCCCGGAAAATCCTTTAATTTTCCTCAAAGAAATTTCGTCAAACAGTGACATTCAGACTGTTGACGTTATCTTCCCTGCTTTCCCCATCCTCTTGTACTTGAACCCGAACCTGCTCAAGTATCTTCTTGAGCCTCTTTTGCTCAATGACAGATACCACTATCCGAATGACTTTGCACAGCACGATTTGGGACGCTTTCCCAGGGCCCTTGGCTACGCTGATGGCAACGATGAACACATGCCTCTGGAGGAGTGTGGCAACATGATCATAATGATGCTTGCCTATTCTCAGTTGAAGCATGACAACCAATATCTTTCGGACAATTGGGATTTGCTCGTCAAATGGGCTCAGTACATGATTAACGACGCCAAGATCCCTGCTAGCCAGCTCTCTACGGATGACTTTGCTGGCCACCTTGCGTATGTCCAGCCCAAAGTCACTTGAAGACGTGTCCCCAGTTAACCATGTATTACCATAGTAACCAGACCAATCTGGCGATCAAAGGCATCATTGCCCTGCAAGCCATGTCCGAAGTGGCAACCCGGGCCGGGCACAAGAAGGAGAGCAGCAGATACTCTACGCTGGCCAAGGAATATCTTGATTTCTGGACCGAGCATGGTGTTAATGCCGAGGCCGGGCATAGCATGCTGCAGTATGATAACAAGGACTCTTACGGTATGCGCACTGCACGCTCTTGAACATTGACCCGGGGCGAGCTAACACAAGGCGTGGCAGGTCTCCTCTACAATATCTACCCAGACAAGCTTCTAGGTCTCGAATTTATTCCCCAGAAAATCTACGACATGCAAAGTGACTTCTACTTAAAGACGCAAAAGCAGTATGGCGTTATTCTCGACACGCGCAACGTCTGGACCAAGGTGGATTGGGAGCTGTTCGCGGCCGCTGTAGCCAAGACCGAAACCCAGAACATGTTCATCTCCAAGATTGCCACATGGATCAACGAGACGCCCACCTGGCGTGCCTTCACAGACCTGTACGACGTGAATACTGGTGGCTATCCTGGGGGTCTTCAATTCACGGCGAGACCAGTGGTGGGCGGCACGTTCTCGCTGCTTGCGCTGAAGAAGTAGACGAGCACAAATAGTGTCGCGATTTAGCAGCGGACTGGTCCTTGATTGAAGCTATCTATCGCGTAATTGAGTCCTTTTTCTAGCTGATGATGGCCTCTTGGTCGCGATAGTTGCTTTTTCTAGGTCTCGGGTTAAAAGCGGCCCTAGCAAGGGTTTCCAGGGACTCTGACTACCTAGATAGGCGTAAAAGGGGTCACTGGTGCAATTTGCAGGTCCTTCAGGGGGGACCATGATTATCAACATGATGAATCAATTCAACTGAACATGTGCAGCATGATTAATTTTGGATCTGGCAAAATATATTTGCCCACGAAGAAGTACACAGTAATATACTAAAGTATATTTTCGTACAGAGCCCCCAGGTACCTGATCCGGTTCAATACTTTTTGTCTCGCACTGCAACTCCCTTTCCCGCTGTGCAAATTGCTCTTCAGCCAACGGCTTGCCGACTCGGTGAGTGGCACACGCAAAATAACGAGTCCCGCCAGACACAGTGATCCGAAAGCTTGCGCGTAATACGGTACAATGGGCAAACACGTCTTGGCTGTGTCACGATGTCATACTTTTGGTCTACATAACAGCAAGCGGTGCTTGTGCGATTCTGAGACTCGAGGCCGCGACTGCGAGTAGTTTGCCCGCTCCCAAACCACCCGCCAGCAAATGACTACCGAGTGAGTGTCTTGTAGTCTGACGTGCGGGCACACATGGACTCAAATATTTCAAGGGGGCCGAATGTATGCACCGGACAGGGACCAATCAGCACAAGGCGGTATATTATAAAGCTTTGATGAATTCTCTGGTGCTATTCTGCGTTGGACTAGTTGTCTTTCCACGCCGTGGCTTCCCCCGTTGCTTCTGCATGACTTGAGCTCTCAGCAGCCGTCAGTGTCTGTCCTTTTCGTCCCTGGCGCCTCTACTCGAGATCGTCGCAGTGGCCCACGGCAAAGAGATCCTGCGACTTGGCGAGCAGCTTCTCAATCTCCTCGGCATAGCGCTTGGCAATGTTCTTGGCCATGCCGCTGCTGATCTTGTTGACAATGGTCTGCGTCAGGCCGCGGCCGACGGAGCTCAGGGCGCCGAGCTTGTTGCGGGTGACGCCGCACTGCCTGGCCTTTTTGACGTCGTCGACCTTGTCCTTGACGTCGTTGAAGAGGTTCTTGGCGCGCTTGTCCAGGTCCTGGACGGGCTTGAGGAGGGCCACGGCGAGGGAGAGGCCAATGGGCTCCGAGTTGTCGACAATGGTCTGGCAGCGCTGGATGGTGGCGGTGACGCCGTCGGTGGCCTCGACGACGGGCGTGATGTTGCCGTCAAACGACCTGGCCGCGTCGTCGAGGTGGTTGATGGAGGCGGTCACGTCGTTGAGGCACTTGGGGAGGGCGTTGTCGCGGGGGAGCACGAGCGCGTGGGCGCCTGGGATGGCGAGGAGGGCGAGGCCAGCGAACTTCATGATGCCGGGGGTTTTATATGAGCGGTGAGAATCGAGTTGGGGACGGGGCGTCGTGGGATTTGGGAATTTTTCCAAGCCTTTATGTTGGTAGATGGCCGGGGGCTTCGTGCGGGTTTTATATAATGCATGTTTTAGCGTGGGCGGTACGAATCTTGGGCTTGCTAGTTGGCAAACATGCTTTGTTTTGCCGCCTGTCGTTTGCGTCACCTGGACGAGGACGATCCTGTAGGCTTGGTGGTGCCGAGGACCTAGTGTCGAGCGAGGACATCTACACCGAGCTGTCAAGTGGAAAGGGGCCAACTGGTTCTCGTGCGTATGGGGCGCAACGGCTCACGCTGCAGCCAATTCTGGATGGCGGGCCGGGGTCAGACCACTAGATGCGCGTATGAGAATCTTGTCGGTTTAGCTTATCCTCGAACCTGGTACCATGCCGTCACTCTGTGTTCCGGCGCAACTTGTCGAGGGTGCAGGCACGGGTCATGAATGGGCACTGAGTTTTCACCCATCGAGTCGCTTGAGCAAGCTGGGCCTAGCGCAGGCTGCACGAGGGAAAACGTGACATGGAGCTTCAATGTTGGTCGGATTTGTCTTGCTGCCGACGCCATCATGCCATCATCGTCTGAGCATCATGTCGCCAAGAGCGGCAAGAACACCGGCAAGACGCATCATCCATCAACCGAGGAGAAGCGACGGGACGTGAAGCGCCCGCACTCGAGACTGTGTAAGCTTTTAGCCAACACGGGCTTCCTCAACATGGCATTTGGGGAACATTTGAACTGACCACGTGTTTTCTTCCGACATTGACTGTGCAGTACACGTCCGGCACTCGCGCCAGTTTCCAGACACTTATGTGGAAATCGCGGAGTCGTGTTTCTATCTGCGGGTACGGGGTCGCGGATTGTTTTGGTCGCTGTCATATGATGACGATGCAAGCAGGACTGCTCGTGGGCATCACGGCTTGAGACTGCGGGGGCCGGTAATGTTTGCAGTCTTGCAGTTTCGACGGCTCCTGTGTTGTACCACGGCGTCGTTGGACGTCATCAGCGCATGGTGTCTAGCGCCGTATTCACACATAAGTAGAGTCGGACTTGGCGCAACGAGGGGGCGAGGTATGATATGAGGAACTGGTGGTGCTGACAAGAGTGCCAACAGGCTTCGAGGACTTTGAGACAAACTTTTAAACATGGCCAATCATGAGTACTTCCCGTTGATTTCTATAAAATGATATTAGTGTACAGCTGGGTACGTAATGCTTGCATGATGCTTGCACGATCATTTGAATTTAAAAAATGTAAAAAAGGAAAAAAAAACCTAATAGCACAGCTAATGTAAACATGCACAATAGACGGCAGACTGTTTTCATCCGTGTCAAAGAACGCACCGAGACCGTTTTTAACGACCAAGGTAAAGTTCAAGGGACATGATGTGACGTCCAAGAATAGGGGTACACATCCCTGTGACGGCGTCAAGTGGCCAGCCTCACTCTGAACCCCCAATAGGCTGACGGCTAGCTTGGATACTGCATCTAGAGTTGGACATTTTATACTCTTTCGTGCCACCCATCCATGTCTGACTTTTTAATTGACAGGATTGGAAATGACGGGGACAGCTGGCATTGATTCGTCAACTACAAGTATGCAAACCGTTGGAGAATGTCAGTACCAGACCAAGGAGAATGATGGCATCCTCTAGGCTTATTCTCCCCATTAGCCGTCTCTTTTATAGCTGAGGGCCTCGCTCACACTCAACTTGGCGTTGAGACAAGGTTCCGTAGGATAAATCGGGAGACGGGAGCTCCTGTGCGCCCTGCCAATGTATGTGGTGTCGAGACAGATGGGGATGGAGTCGTTGTAGTGACCTTTGGCCGAGTTGGGGAGAGATTTGTGAAGGCGGATGAGGATGAATGGAGCAGGTCGAATTCTGTTGTTGTGGGACTGAAAGAAGAGCGATAACGGACTATACCTGGGGTGTTGGCCTTTTCGTAATGTCTGAACGGCTATTTTCAGTGGCACGGGAGGATGCAACAGGGCGCATAGCAAAGAGATGGTTCTTGCTAGGATAAAGACTCTGGGCTTGTTTAAAGATGAGTAATATTAACTGATACTAACTGGCCAGTTACGGTCAATTGTAGTAGCTGCACGTCGCGCGAAACCTGCAACGCTAGAAGGAGACTCAGGTGCCCTCCCCCCGGGGCCGCTGCAATTATGATACTTTTTACCTGCTTGGTGATCGTCTGGTATGATAACGAATCTAATTTTCACATGGTTTCAGTCTCTTACATTATAAGATGAGGATCTGTTGGTTATTTCCAGGCTGCCTCACAAGTGCGCGGCGTTCGCCACACAGATGAATGCCTGGATCGAGAGGAATTGCCGTTCAATTACACCCACACGAGCAGGAGATATGATAGATGAATACAGCTATGCGTTTACCGATGAAACTCCTTCGTGAATACATGATGGCCGGGCAAAGAGGCACATGATGTGTTTCAAGTCTTCTACGGCACAAGTGGTGGAGGGTAAAGTAGACGGAACGATATGAATTGGAGAAATGCCAACATTTTCTCAGTCTTTTTTCATTAATGCTCAGAAGGCTCGAGATGTATAACTCATGCAATTGGCTCTCCTCTTCGATTGTCTGAACGTGTCTTTGCCGGAGCAACGAGTCATGTCGATATTCAATTGGCAGCGCAGAATCACATGCCGTGGAGGTCAGAGACTACAGTCTGGCGCCTCAAAAACTCCCGTGCCATCACGAAATACTTATTGAGAAATGGTCACCAGTGTGCAGTCTTTGCGGCTCAGCCAGTAGCACAACAACCAAAGCAGGAGATGGCCCATATGGGCGGCTTCTCCCCCATTCCGATCTCAAACAGACCACAGTTTCTTGTTTGATGCTATCGGGAAGTTCACCATACACCTCTTCCGCGGAGCTAAAAACAGACCATAGTCGCTATTATCCCATGCAGTTACACCCCTCATTGCGGCATCAAGGTGGCCTATAGATGAGAACCCCAACAGTAAGCGTATTGAACTAGTAGGTTCCGTACTAGTCTAGTATCCAGGGTAGAATTAGTATTTTTGAATGACTTCAAGGATACAACAATCGCCTTCGCTCTGATGGACGCGACCTGATAGACTACGTGGTCTAAAAGAAAGGGTTAGGGTTAGGGTTATGGGGGTACTAAATGCATGTTATTGGAAACACCGGAGAAGTTAGTGGCAGCGGATCTGGGGTGTTTGGCGACGAGGAGCTAGCCGCAGCGAAGTAGAGTATAAACGAGACAGCGAAGCGCTTTATTACAGCACGTTCCAGGTCCCTTTAATACTAGAAATGTAATTACAAATTCTTGAATTACTTGCAGCTATGGCTATTGCCTTAAATCTCAATATCGTCCTTGACGGACAAGTATGAAGATATAAATTTCTTGGGGTTTTAACCTATTTTAATGAACTTGTTATTTATTTTTGACCTATCCGAATATCGTGCAAGCACTACATCACGTAAAGCCTAACGGAAGCAATACCATGCGGCTGGCCGCACCCAAGCCAAAGAACCGCAATAGACCACGTAATACACTATGAGTATGACGGATAAGTATATGTGGAGAGTCTGTGTAGTTTTAAAGCGATAAAGGTAAACGAACAAGAAATATCTCAATACGACGGACCAGAAGCCAGAGAAGAGAAACTCAATAGGTTAGATTGTCATTAGACTTGCTTCCATTTGACCAGGCAACTTGAACTGCAATGTTGGCCAGTCCTTGGTATCTGTTCCATTCTAGCTAATCGTACAAAGGATTTCAGTCTTTAAAGTCGTAGAGATAAAGGGGCCAATCTTCCGCTCCACCCGTTACAAGCCAAACGGCCAGGTCTCATCGTACTCTAGAGGTTCCTCCGGTTGGTGAGTTTCAATGCCCCTTACAGGGGAGGAGCTATCAAACCATAAGAAACCATCAAACTGTTCCGGAAGAATAGCCGAAGAGTAGTGAGATCGTCTTTCCGTCTTTGGCTTGTATATGACGCCAATAAACCTCTCTAGTCGCTGCTTCATCAACTCTTTCCGCAGGGTTCCGTCACATTTTCCAGGTCTGAGGTCCAGAGCAAAGTTGTCGACGCCCGTGGCATGCATCAGCTCCTCATAGCTACCGGGTAATGCTGGCTGTACTTTCATAACTCTCATGTCACCGCCCCAACAATCTGCTGCTGCAACACTTCCGGTGTAAGTGCCACAACCTATACTCAGGCAGGATTGGCCGTACGTCTCCTTACACAGTTGACCAATGTTGATTTCACGCCGGGAAACGCCCATGCTAGTCGCCCGGGCGTCCCCAACGTGGCTATTATGTGCCCACACGATCGCTTTTGCTTTGGCACCTCGGTGCTTGAGAATCCGGCCTAGTGTGTTCGCCATGTGTGTATCTCGCAGGTTCCAGGACTCATTCAACCCATAATACATTGTCTTGTAGTACCGCTCTGCGTCTGTGATAACTCGTTAGTAATTGCTATTTGGCAAATATACTCCCCATCTGACTTGACTCACCAGCCACAACTCTCGCATTCTGTTCTGCGCTATGAAACTCGTCCCCGTCCCAGTAGACCGAGGAGTATTGAACTCGCTTTTTGAGTAGGTCCTGCAGCATATATATAACCTCTTTTTCATAGCCTTCGAATCCTGGCGTGATGGCTGCGTAGGCGTAGTCGTGAGGGTCGTCAGCCCACATCATTAGCTGCTCATACCTGTGCCTGGCCAACTTGGCCATGTCGGCGTCCACCTGGTCGAGATATTCAATGACAGCTTGCATAGAGCTGCGAAGAGAATATAAATCCAGTCCATAGAACCCGACGGATTCATGCACAGACTTGCTTTGGCTTGTGTTGTATTTCCGGAGCCACTCCACAAACTCCTGTACTTCCAAGTTTCGCCACATCCACGTTGGGAAGCGCATAAATGGTGCCTCACGTCCATCATTAGTCTTGCCCGTGGCCGTGAGACTGACGCCTTTATCGGGAAGTGTTCGGCGCCGAACATATCTATCCACAACTTCTGCGTCTGGCCAGTCGCCCTCAATAGCAATAATGTTAAACCCGTGGTGTTCGATCATGTACTTGGACAATTCCGCGCGCGCCGTGTAGAACTCAGATGTCCCATGCGAAGCATCACCCAGCAGTAATACCTTGCATTTTCCAAAGTCATCAAATGCCTTGTTATAAGTCGCGCTGTCTAGCGCAGAGTCGAACGATACGGCATTGGCCGCTAGGAGATCACAGGGTGAGTTTGGATCTGCCCTGGGTTCTTTGCCAACAGAAGTCATTGTTGTAGAAACGTCTCTCTACGTCTCATTCAAGTTGAATTTTTGGTACTCGTTTTAGTGTGCTGTTAAAGTTTTGTTAGCGTCTGATTCAAGTTGAAATTTCGAGGGTTTAGATACACTTACGTGCAGTGGTCAGAGTATGGTGGCTTGTTCTTGTTCCATATAATACTGACTTCGCCTTATCTAGAGCTTCATTGAATCATCCCGCTCGTGGGGTATTATAATTCAAAGCCGGGCGACAATTTAGCCGTATTCAGCTGTGAAGTATTTGGTGATGACTACTGCAAGACGCCAAGGCATACCAATCACTAAAAGTGTATGGAACAAAGCCCAGCACCCTCAAATGAGAACGTAGCCGTGGAATTGGTGGGAAGATTATGACGTGACATATCCGTCATGCAGCGTCTGGTCTGTTTTGTGAAACCCCCCCCCCCCCCCCCCCCCCCCCGCC